GGGCCAAATTGGGTTTGAAAACAATGATTTGCCATGTGTTTTTCAGCAGAATGATGTAACATCCGGATTAGCACAAAACCAATATATTAGCTGGCCACTTTTGCTGCGTGTTATAACAATTAATCAACAATATATCTGATACAGACTCGGATATCGTTCTACATATTCCCTTTACATTGCTTATTATTGTATGAGAATTGAATGATATATTTCCCATGTGATTAGGATTCTGCTAACTTTTTATTTTGCTTAAAATAAAAAATTGTTGTCTACTGTTCTTCTAGTCATTCTTTATCTATTGACTCAAGTAATTTGAGCTGATATGGTTTGTACTTGTGGTAGGTCTATGTTAATCAATATATGTTCTGCTGCAGAGTTACAATGTCGTCAACTATGATGAGAAGCTGATGGATGGGTTTTATGATGTATATGGTGTTATATCAAATCCTAACTCACAAGGGAAAATACCTTCATTGGTTGATCTTCAAGCAATACCAGTTTCAGATAATATTGTTTATGAAGTGGTTTTAATAAATCACAGTTTAGATCAGGCACTTCAACAACTTGAGAGGAGAGTGGCATCAATTGCTTTAGAATGCAAAGCTGGTGAACATGGACTAATTTCTAGTGGTTTGGTTCAGAAGATTGCTGACCTTGTTGTCGAAAGCATGGGTGGTCCAGTTGGTGATGCTGAGGATATGCTTAGAAGATGGACATTCAAGAGTTATGAGTTGCGGTCATCTCTGAACACTATCGTCCTTCCCCTTGGTTTGCTGGAAGTTGGATTATCACGCCATCGGGCCTTGCTCTTCAAGGTTGTATTTTCCGTCATGTTTAGTCTAACTAAATAGGCTAACTCTAATTTTATTTGATGATCAAGTAAATACTAAATCTAATTAAGCGACAGAAATAATTTTATGTATATCATCATGATGATCAAGTAAATACTAAATCTAATTAAGTGACAGATATAATTTTATGTATATCATCATGATGCTGCATCGCTCCTGGTAGGTTTTGATGTAATCTAATATTTTAGTTAGCAGCACTATAAGCACCGTGAATTATTTCCTATTACTGGTTTTTTTAGAAGAATATGGTCATTCAGAGGTAATTTTAGACACGACTATGTTCATAATAAGATTAGTGACAGTCAGATGTTTGTTTGATTAGGATAACCTCTACGGGGGAGTAAAATAACCCCTTCAATCTTTGTTTTCCTGCTCTCTAGCTGGACAATTAGGTTTATGGCATGCCTCCTTCTTGTCCATACTTCCCTCACCTAAGAACTTGCAAATCTTTGATGGGGCCTTTTTAAGTATGGAGTTAACTCCATAAATGTCCCATTTGATGGGAAAAACTTAGTGGTGGTGATAATGATGATTCTCATATCACTGTGGCTATGGCCTAACCTTAAAGACCCAGGTCTACCTCTTGTTAAATGCTTAGAATCATTGCATTCAGATTTATAGAGCTTGAGCGAGCACTTGTTACCTTCAGTCGTATGGTGCTTCGGCATGCTTTCTGTACTTTATTGTGTGTTGCTGTTTCCGCTAAGGATACTGTCATTGATCTTCCCTTTCACAGTCAATATAGCACATGATGGCACCATCTTCTTCTGCCTCCACTGATGTGGAGCATTAACCGTTGTATTTGGCTATTCTGTCATGGCTTGTTTCACCTCCAAAATTATTGTAAGAAGTTCCATGACCAGCATGACGTGAAAAACTTGTAAATATTCAGCCTTTACTGGAGTGTTTCTTCTTCTTTCTGGAAGGGAGATACTGCTACGGTGATAACCCCATTAAAAAAGAATTCCTTGGGTCTGATTTTTTATTGTCTCTTTAAAGCTTACCATCTTTCTATTAACCACCCTTCAACTTTTCGAGTTGAAATTACATCACCCCACATAAACAAATATGATTCTAAGAAAGCAACTAGCATCTCCTTTCTTGTGCTTACTGCACTTGGATCCATCAACTTGTGCAAAACCATTTCAAACATTTTTGTTATGCAAAACATACAGCACGATAAAACTTGAAGATTACGGGCAATGAACTTTTTGTGAACTGTGCAAATAGCAGAAATATTTGTCCAGCATACTAGCGTTGATTGCAGAAATTCAGTTCTTTCTTCATTAGCTTGGTTGAGTGAGTCTAGATAAAATATATCTCAAGGCAATTGCTATATTGATCATGCTACCGTTGATGCATCTTGTGGTAGCAGTGTAGCAATACCACAAGAAACATCAAAAAAAAAAAAAAAGAAAAAAAAAAGGAATGAGTGCCATAGGCCCATAACAGCCAAGCCACATTTGACCTAGTTATGGTCAGCATGTTAGAATACCATACTTTGTGCTAAAAGATGCCCGTAACTGCTAGATGTTAGAGGGATTATGCTTAGAATACATATGCAATTAGTTGCTTGTCATAGGTTACTGCTATTGCATACCGGTTCTGTAGTACATTAGTTCCTTTTGCAGAAATTAATTTTTTTTCCTCTTATTATCTCTGATTAATTGGTATAACAAGAATGGGTGCCAATGTATTACTGCCTTACTGGGATGATGCCATCAACTGGTACTGGAGGTGCAATCTATAAAATATGATTTATCTTTCTTACATCTGGCAAAAGACCCATAAGAGGTACAAGTTAAACTTTTTCAGCATGTTAGCATGTTAGGAATACTAATCTATGGGTTAGAAAAGATCCTGTATCCTTTGGTAGGCGCATCTATGTCTGTGAGGTTCATCATGAATGTCAAAACTGTTTTGTAACTGCCATTGTCGTAGTATATTAAACTACTTATACTTAGCTCGCAGGAGATTTCTTTAGGTCAAAAAATGCTCTACTGAAGTCAAATTGTCTTATGCTGTGCACAATCTGTAGCAATTAGCATGCCTTGATAAACTTGTTCTTGACCCTGTTTTCGTTATCTGCAATCCTGTAGGCTGGAGGAACTGGTATATTATTTTAGTGCTCTATGTGTTGCAAGATATATATATATGACTTACAAGTTTGCTCATGGATTTAAACTTTTATGTTATTATGAATAAAGCTGGTGCTTTGACGTGGCCAATGATGGAATATTTTGTTGCCAGGTATTAGCTGATCACGTAAACCTGCCGTGTAAGCTAGTGAAAGGGAGCTATTACACTGGTACTGACGAAGGAGCTGTAAATTTGATTAAAGTCGGCTATGACAGGTGTGTCCTTCAACTTTTCTTTTCATTTTGACTTTATGATTAAGGCCTGTTTCCTTGTCAAGTAGAGTTGAACTTTAATTAGTTGCTTGGCCAGTATACAATTGGCTGCACCGGATTGTAATTCTTTAGACTGATCTGTCATCACATATTACGTCTGAAATATGTTGAACAAGCTCTTATTATCTTGCTTTTGTTTTTCTCTTGTAGTGGCCAATAAGTGGTCATTATTTGACTAGTATAAGCATTATTATGATCTTTCCCCTTTTGATAGTGCCTCTGATGTAACTTGCTCAACAATTTCGCAAGCTAATAATGCATAATTAGGAATCTCTAGTGATTTGCAGAGTCTTGCCTAAGCATTTCGATTGAGTTGAATGACATGCTGTCACATTTTGTCGCTACAAATATCTATTTATTGGTGTCGAGCATTTCGATTGAGTTGAATGACATGCTGTCACATTTTGTCGCTAGAATATCTAGTTATTGGTGTCGTCTTGCAGAGAAGATTCATATGAGGGCTGGAGCCATGAGTATCACGGATGAGTGCAATTATGTCATCTGTTATTTTCTTAATTCATTATCTTAATTTTCCCAAATATTTTCACATGCTTACTATGCATCGTTAGGAATCCCGGAAATTTGATTGGCAATCTTTCTTAAGTATTTGGATTTAGTTGAATGATGTGTCATCACAATTTATCCCTACAATCTCGAGTTATTGGTTTCGCCATCTTACTGAAAATATACGTATGAGGGCTGGAGCTGTGAGTCTTGTGGATGAGAACAATTATGTCCAACTATTACTTGCTTCCTTCATTTTGTTGTTTCCAAGCAAAATATATGAAATACTGTATAAACATAAATATTTTATTTGTAAGTCCCTTCTTTCAAACTTTACATAATTG